GACTTCCTTTGTCTGGACTCGGGGCCTTTGCACCTACTGTTCCTTCTGCTTGGGCTACTCTTCCTCTTACCTGGCTTTGTAATCTGTATTAGTTTCTTCTTGTTGCTGTAAAAATGATCACTGAGTGTGGTTTCAAATAGCATATACTGACTTTACATACCTGACCTATAGTTGCTCCCTACATCTTCAAAGCCAGTAGCACAGAACCTTCAAATCTCTCTGACCTTCCCTCCTTTTATCCCCATTTTAGGACGTTGCTAACGACAGGGCTGATCCAGGGAGTCCTGGACAATTCCCTTCCCTCAACATCCCTACCTAGTCCCCTCTGCACAGTCTCTTGGGTTTCACAGGGGTAGGTCCTGAGGTTTAGGGTGTGTCTGCCGTAGTTCTGCAGTCAGCGCATCCTCAGCTTCCTTAGAGAGTCCATTCCTGCCCTGCCCTAACTTCTCAGCCCGTGGTGGGTTTCATCTCCATGGCTCCTCCTAATGTGCTGGCCATCCCCTTGTCTTGGATATGCTTAGCCTATCTCTCCCCTCAGCATGAGGGTGGAGACCCAGCCTGCCTCCTTCACTCCTATGTCTCTGGAGTTGAGGAGAGTGCTAGGCAAGCAAGCAGGCACTTAGCATCCACTCGAGTGAAAGATGCATGGATGGGTATATCTTCTCAGTCCAAGAGATTGCTCTGAGCCTGAGGCCAGCCTTCTCTTGTGAGTTAGAGGTTGCTGAGTGGGAATCCGCCAGCTGTTCCTACTGGGACCCAGGATTCTGGTTTCATCATAAAACAAAGGAGAGAGAACTTAGGTGATTATCCCTCTAGTACTAAAAAGTCCTGTCTTTCTGGTTAGTCTAGAAAAAGATGGTGTCACCACTCCGATTGTGATCCTGGGAGGAAGCATGTGTGGGTGTGGGAAGGATCTGAAGTGACTCACAAAATCCCACAGCCACAAGTATGTGCACTCTCTGGATCTGACCCTTGGCAGACAGTGTCTGTCTCTTGATTGTTTCCCTGTGATCACAGTTGCATTCATTTACTCTCAGGGGAAAAGAATTGTGCGGTCTGTCTGAGCCCATGTAAAATGGGGTCTTAAAGCTTCACCTAGGGGTGTGTGCAGAGGGACCTCCACAGAAGCCCCTTTGCTGGACCAGTCTTCCTCTTGCTTACTGGTGTATATCAGTCTTTGTTCACAGCCCAGCTTTGTCTTTGCCCGGCTGTGTGACTTCAGGCAGTGACTGTGTGTCTCTGAGCCTTTTGTCTGTCATACCTGCCTCAGAGAATTGCTGAGAGGCGGAGGGGACATGATGGTGATAGTTCCCTTCCCTTATCCACGGAGGAGTTTGGTTACTTGGGAGAGGGGTATTTGACCTTAGGGAGGGTCATTTCAGGAGGCTGCTGCCCGCCTCTGTTCTGGAGAGCTTAGAGGTCGGGTAGGCTTCCCACAAGCCTCAGGAATCAGACATGAGCAATGGTTTCCCAGTGGATATAACAGGTCTTGTTAAAGTGTAGGTAAGTTTCAAATAGCTAACATTTATGTCTCCTTTACTGAGTGCACAGAGTTTATCTGGTCACAGAGCCACTTTGGAGGTAGGTACTGCTGTTCTCGTGGGGCAGCTGAGGAAACTGAGGTGAAGGTCCTTCTCCAAATGCATAGCAAATAAGTGGCTGACAAGATATGAACCAGGCCTGCTCACATGCTGTGTCAGTCAGCTCTCAGTCACCATGACAAATGCCAGAGATTCTAGAATCCCCTTATAAAGAGGAAAAATTTGGCTCACATTTTTAGAGATTTCAGTCCATGGTCTTTTGGTTCTTTTGCTTTTTTGATATTTTTGAGACAGCATCTTCCTGTAGCTCCAGCTGGCCTGGAACTCAGTATGTAGACCAGGTTGGACTTGAACTCAGCCTGCCTCTGCCTCCCAAGTGCTGGGACTAAAGGCATGTACCACCAAGCCTGGCTTGGTTCTTTTGCTTTCTGTCTGTGGCACTGCATTATGGCATGGCACCCACAGCAGAGCAAAGTGTGGACGTCCCATAGTCTCCTTGAGAGCACTCCTCTGAGTGATCCAAAGACTCCCTTGGGCCTTGTCTCTTAAAATTATCACTTCTCCAGTCATCAAGCTGGGGACCAAGCTTTTAACACAAGCCTTTGTGGGACACTCCCCATCTGAACAGTAGCACTCCCACATGGGATTTTTATAGTGATAGGGAAATCTGGAAGCTGAGGCACTTGAATGTAGTGGTTTTCATGGGTCTTCCGGGTGGGAAGATCCCGAGGACTTTGGTTTTTTCTTTTTTCAAGTATTCCAGAACGACCAGATAATAAGAACTGTGGCTTAGCAGGGGCCCTTGACTGAGCCCCTAGGGTCTCTGCCTGTCCTGAGCCTAGGTTCAATGCCAGTGGTGTGGTACCTTGAAAAGTGTCACTTTCTTGGAACTAAATATCTTGCACTCCAGAATCCACTTCCTCTTTCTCCTAGGAGGAAAGTGAAACTCACAAAGGGTCAAGGTACTGACTGAGCCCCACTGCCACCAGCCCCCTCCCAATGCCGGGCTCCCTTTCCTATGTTGTCACACCTTCCTCTTCCCTCTGCTCCTTTTTGTGAGCAGCTGGAGGTGGACTCGGCTGGCCCTGCTTGCATCACTTCCCATTGACCAGGAATCTTGCCTGGAGTTTCCAGTGACTAAAACTGCAACTCTGGAACTTTCCATTCCTACAGGGCACTTCTGAAATCTTTCCTTATCTGTCTAGAGGGGAAAACCAGGGCTGTATGATGGATTATGTGGCTCTGATATGTTCCATGGTCCTTAGAGTTCTGAGCCTCATCTCTAACGCTGCTGTTCCCTGCTCGACCTTTCTGAGCTCATATTCCAAAGAGACAAGTTCTAGGGGGTTTGGCCTCCTCCTCTTTAATCTCTAGAACCTGGCACAGTACTCAGTGCACTGTGTTCAGTGACATTTTCTTCTGGTGGTGCTAGGGTTCAAACCCACAGCCTTGTGTATAGGAGGCAAACATTGTACCAATTGTACCTCAGCCCCTCAACAACATGGTTTTTTGTTCACAGTTTGCTCATGATTTCTGAAATCTTGGAACTAAAGCTTGATTATTTTCTCCCTCATTTTTGTTCTGTTTTGTTCTGTAATGCTGGGGATAGATTCCAGGATCCTGTGCATGCTAGGCAAGTGTTTTATTGTCAAGCTACATCTCCAGCTTATTTCATTCTTAGTTTAAAAAAATGCTTCTCTCATGTAAGTTCAGTGGCAGGGCCAGGCATGTCCCAGCACTCAGGAGACAGAGACAGGTAGATCTCTGTGAGTTCAAGGCCAGCCTGGTCTACACAGTGAGTTTCAGGCCAGCTGGGGCTATAGGGAGACCCTGTCTCAAAAAGACCGCCCCCCCCAAAAAAAAAGAAAAGCAAGAAAAATCTTACTGAGAACCTGTCTAAAGTCACACCCATATGGAGAACGGTAAGAAAAGCACTCTAATGACCTTGGCCGGGAAGGATGGGGTGCAGTGTATTTCCCCTGCATTTTCCACATAAGCAACCATTTATTTTATGCCAAAAAATGCAAAGGAAGCCACATGTGGTGGCTTACAATGTAATAACAATATTTCTGAGGTGGGGCAGAAGGATTACTGCAAATTTGAGACTAGTCTGATCTACTTAGCAAGACCTTGTCTCAAACAGGCCTGATGGTGAATGCCTTTAATCCCAGCATTCAGGAAACAGGTGGATCTCTGTGAGATCCAGACCAGCCTGGTCTACATAGCAAGTTCAGGCCAACTGGGGCTAGAGGAAGACCGTCTGTCTTAAAAAACCAACCAACCAGCCGGGCGTGGTGGTGCTCGCCTTTAGTCCCAGCACTTGGGAGGCAGAGGCAGGTGGATCCCTGTGAGTTTGAGGCCAGCCTGGTCTACATCGTGAGTTCTAGTCCAGCCTGGTCTACATAGTGAGTTCTAGGCCAGCTGGAGCTATAGGGAGACCCTGTCTCAAAAAGACCAAAAAAACAAAAAAAGCAACCAACCAACCAAAACCAAAACAAGGGCTATAGAGATGGCTCAGCAGTTAAGAGCACTGGCTGCTCTTGCAGAGGACCCAGGAACTCCAGTTCCAGGTGATACAACACCCTCTTCTGGCCTCTGTGGGTATTGTACACACAGGTACACTTACATACATGCAGGCAAAACACTCATATACAGAATAAAAGAGTAAATCCCCAAACATAAAAATTTAAAACAAAACAAAAAGAATGTGTACTTCTTTATTATTATCACTGTAGCTCCCTCTGTGCTGCCCAGTGCCTCAGACCTGTCAAAGTGTTTTTGTCCCCAAGGGTGACTTAATCCCTGTAACAGTTCCAAAAGGTGGTGGCTATAGATTTGTTCATTCAGTCATTCCTCAATCTTAGAACTACTGAATTCCCCCACCAGGGCTGGGACTTAGAGTCAGGTGCCCAGGGAAAAAATATCAGAGGATATTTGGGGTCTTGTAAGAGCTGGGTCAGCCCTGAGGTGAGGATCTCCCTTGACTCCCCTGTGTCCTTGGCTCATCTTCCCTTAGCTCCTCCGTATCTTGGCCTGCCTCTCTGAGCAGGTAGCTTGTCCATTTGGGAATATGGTAGTGAATATGGTAGTAAAACTCCCCACCTGCATGGAGCTTCCATTCCAGATGGTGTGTGCAGAGTTCTGCTTTACACTGGGGCTTCTCTCTGTCTCCTCTCCGAATTTTGTTGTTTGTTTTGAGTCAATGTCTTACTGTGTAATCCTGACTGGCTTGGAACTTGCTGTGTAGACCAGGCTGGTTTTATACAGTCACTAAGGCTGCTTGGGGGTAGGGACTGCTGCAAGCAAAGAAACTGCTAATGCTCAAGGCTCTGGCATTTTTCCTGTTTGGTGCAGTAGCCATATTGATACTACCCGGGAGCGATACTGGGGCAAGCCAGGGACCTGCTTCTGGAGGCAGTGCCTTTAACTCTAAACAGAATCTTCTCGCTTGCCCTCTAGCCTCCTATGTGATCACAGATCTAACACAGCTGCGCAAGATCAAGTCCATGGAGCGGGTGCAGGGCGTGAGCATCACCCGGGAGCTGCTGTGGTGGTGGGCCATGCGGCAGGCCACTGTCCAGCAGCTGGTGGACCTCCTGTGCCGCCTGGAGCTCTACCGTGCAGCACAGATCATCCTGAGCTGTGAGTAACCTTCTGTCCCTGAGGGAGTCTTGGCATGGGCTTAGTGTCTGAAAACCCTGTTGATCTTTTATCAGTGAAGGGGATGGAACCCATGCAAACCAGGTGAGTGCTCTGCCACTGAGCTGCACTCCACCTCTAGGACCTTTCTTTTTCCCAGTTTAAAATTCACGCACCAAGTTATTTCTTCATCAGATTTTATTCATGAGCCTGCTGTGTACTCTGTGTGGCACTGGGTTTAGCGGGGGAAACCCAGTCTAGGCAGGAATCTAAAACCTTTTTATTTTTTTTATTTAAAAAATATTGGGGGCAGCTGGGTGTGGTGGCACATGCTGAGGCAGGCGGATCTCTGTAAGTTCGAGGCCAGCCTGGTCTCGATAGCAAGTTCCAGGCCAGCTGGGGCTACATGGAGACCCTGTCTCAAAATGGCCAAAAAAATTAAAAAAATAATGATAATATTGGGGGCTAGTGAGATGGCTTAGTTGGTAAGGGTACTTGTTCCTAAGCCTGATGACCTGAGTTTGATCTCCAGGAACCACATTGATGGAAGGAGAGAATTGACTCCCAAAAGTTGTCCTCTGACCTCAACATGTAAATGTTCCCTTCCCAACATGTACGCACATGATAAACAAATGAATGTAAAACAAGTTTTTAAAGTATTGGGGAACTGGGGATATAGCTCAATTGGTAGAGTGCCTGCCTAGAATGCGTGAAACCCTAGGTTTGAGCTCTAATACATTGTAAACCTATTAGGCATAAAATGGTACACACTTATAATCCCAGCACTAGCAAGGTGAAGGCAGGAGGATCATAAATTCAAGGTCAGCCAGGCGTGGTGGTACACACTTTTAATTCCTGCACTCAGGAAGCAGAGGCAGGCAGATCTCTGTGAGACTGAGGCCAGCCTAGTCTGCATAGTGAATTCTAGAACAGCTGGGGCTACAGGGAGAACCTGTCTCATTCATCTTCCACTACAAAGCAAATTTGAGGCCAGTCTGGGATATGTGAAGCCCTGTTTTTTTTGTTTTTTTTTTTCTTTTGTCTTTTGAGACAGGTTCTCCCTGTAGCTCCAGCTGTCCTGGAACTCACTATGTAGACCAGGCTGGCCTCGAACTCACAAAGATCCGCCTGCCTCTGCCTCCCAAGTGCTGAGATTAAAGGCGTGCACCACCACGCCCAGCCTGCCCTGTTTTTTTTTTTTTTTTTTTTTTTTAACAATTGGAGGAACTGTGGGTATATACAGCTCAGTGATAGAGTGCTAGCCTAGGCCTGGGTTGTACCTCCAGCACTGCTAAAATTTAAAAAAAAAATGTTAAAACGCAGGTTAACCAGCCTACATGTTTGTCAACAGGTGAACAGATGAAGAAAATATGGTACATGCACAGGATAGAATTTTATTTAGACATAAATAAAAATGGAATCATGATATTTACAGGAAAATGGATGGAACTGGAGATCATTGTGTTAAATGAAATAAGCCAGTCTCGGACAAATACCATGTTTTCTCACATGTGGAACCTATATTTAAAATTGTATAGGGGTGAGAGCTGGGCATGGTGGCACATGCCTTTAGTCCCAGCACTCGGGAGGCAGAGGCAGGCAGATCTCTGTGAGTTCAAGGCCAGCCTGGTTTACATAGTGAGTTCCAGGCCACCTGGGATACAGGGAAACCCTGTCTCAAAAAGACCAAAAAAAAAAAAAAAAATTGGATAGGGGTGTGTGTGCATGTGAGCGTGCGCTCACCAAAAGAAAAAAAAAATGTTTTTTGAAAATGTTTCCAGTGTAAATTTGTGTGATCTACATTGTTATTCTATTTCTTACGTTTCCTCTCAGGAGTTAATGCTGTGAGCAATTGCCTTCCTGCCTTCCTTCCACCCACAGATCTTTTATTATTATTATTATTATTTTTTTTTGTGTGTGTGTGTTTATGAGACAGGGTCTCCCTGTAGCCCTAGCTGGCCTGGAACTCACTATGTAGACCAGGCTGGCCTTGAACTCACAGAGATCTGCCTGCCTCTGCCTCTTGAGTGCTGGGATTAAAGGCATGTGCCACCACACCATGGCACACATACATCTATACTCACACACACATACAAAATAAATTGATAATTTTAAAAAGCATTGTAAGGAGCTGTGAGATGGTGCATGCCTTTAATCCCAGTACTCAGGAGGCAGAGCAGGAGGATCTCTGTGAGATGGAGGCGAGCCTGGTCTACATAGCAAGTTCCAGTCCCAGCCAGGGCTACAGGGAGACCTGGTCTCAAAAACAAACAAACCCAAAAGCATTGTAGGGGCTGGAGAGATGTGTAAGTGGTTAAGAGCACTGGCTGCTCTTACAGAGGACCTGCATTCTGTTCATGGCAGCTAACAGACGTCTATAACTCCAGCTCTTGGGGATCCCACCCTCTTCTGGCCTCTGCAAGCATTATATACATGTGGTACACTTACATACATGCAGGCAATACACTCATATACATATAAATAAATAAAATTTTGAAAAGCATTGTAGTCTGGCCATAATATGCTTTATGCAAAGAAAAACTTACTAGTAAGACAAATAAACTGTTTAGACTAGTGAGGCAGTACAGCCTGTAAACCTGAAATGTGCCTGTAAACCAAGTTCCTGCTTGTCGGCCATGGTCTTCCCCAGTCTTCTGTTGTCTACTCCTGTTTACACCTTCCCACCCAGTCCCCTCCCACGCCCACCTTCCCTTAGACTGGGCAGGGTGAGCTGCTTGGCCCATAGCCTGGTAACTCTCTGCAACCTGTGTGCCACCCCCTCGCCCAGTTCTAAGCTGTGCCAGAGCACTGTCCTCTTCTTCTCTCCTTGAGGGTCAACCAGAGAGGCCTGGGTGAGGCAGCAGGATGCAGTTAAGTGAGTCTAGGCCCAGTCCAGCAGTGTGACCGTGGGCAAATTTTTTTCTGAGGCTTCTGAGGACTCATACCCCATCTTTGTATTGTGAAGGGGCCAGCCTGGATGGCATGCTGAGCCTAGTCTGTGTTTCCTAGAGCCTGAGACCCCTGATTGTGACCCCAGTTTTGGCTTCTCAGTATTTTAAGATCTGGAATGTGGCAGATGCTGAGAAATGGCAGTTTTAGACTGGTGTGGTAGCAAACATCTGTAATTCAGCACTTAGGAAATAAAGGCAGGAGAATCACAGGTTGAAGGCCAGTAAGTTCAAGGCTAGCTTGGACTACACTGAAACCTTGTAGCAAAAAAGTTTCTTGCATTTTGGAAAAAATTAATAAACCCTTAATGAATCCAAAGAAGGTGAAGGAGGGTCCCTAGATGTTGGGGGAGAGCTGTTGGCTCATATGTGGTCAAAGTGGGATTCCAGTTGGTCCATATTGGGGAGGTAGATGGTGGGGCCAAGCAAAACCCTGAGACAGGTAGGGGTGTCCTGTCAGGGTGTGTGAAAGCAAAGGAGGCCAGGGGTTTGGACTCTAGGCTTCCTGGTTACACCCACTCTCCATTGACGTCAGAGACTGACTAATCTGGGAACGATCTTAACTATATTAGGTCAACAAACACTATAATCTCAGATTTAAAGAGACACACTTGTGTCACACTAAATAAACTCACATGGGGGTCCCCTGTGAATACTCTCGGCCACAGGAGGGTCTATGGAGCCCCCCCCCCCCAGCCCTGGAAGCCCAGTGGCTTTGTGGCCTGAGGTCCCAAGGGGAAAGGTCCACCTCAGGCCCATCTGGATCCAGGGCCCACTGTAGCCTCTCCTAGGGAACTGGAGCTGGCCCCACTGCTACCAACTGGGGGCTTTTTGGGTCTCCAAGAAACACCAGTGTCTCTTGCCTCTCAGCCTCTGGTTACTTAGAATTCATCTCAGACCCAGGCCATCCTGTTCTGTCCTTTTTCCTCTCTCATTCCCCAAACACAGTTGTCTTCTCAGCCCTGTTGGTTAAGGCTGCCTGAGGAAGAGAGACTAAGGTTTCTATTCCATGTCCCCTGACCATCCTTGTTCTTGTTGTGGGACTTTCGTTATGTGCACATGACTTGCTTGGCTGTTTGGGCCTTCTTGGAGTTATTGAGTCATTGAGTTATCGAGCAAGACATTTCCCCTCTCTGATTCTTGCTATTTTATATTGGGGTAAAAAAAAACTATAAATTTCTGCTACACTCTGGAAGTAAACACACAGGGCATGTGTACAGTGGTTTAAGTTTCTGTTTTAGAAATGGCCAAAGCCTTCCTCTTTTCTAACCCTGAGATTAGTTAATATTATATTGTATTTAGTTGATTTGAGATTATTAACTAGCTCAGCTGTCCCCAGCAATTTGAAAAATTGATTTCTGCCCACCACTTTTTTTGGTGGGGGGTGGTTTCTGGAAATTGAACCTAGGGCCTCACTCATGCTAAACTGTTCTACCAGTAAACTATACCCCTAGCCCCCTAGACATTAAAAATATTATATTTCTTTTTACTGGGGGGGGGCAGTGGAAGTCAGGCTTGGCTACAGGTACATTTGCCCACTGAGCCATCTCTCCAACCCAACATTTTTTTTTTTTTGAGACTATGCAGCCCTGGCTGGCCTAGAATTCACTTTGTAGAACAGGCTGGCCTGGAACTCACAGAAATAGGTTTTGGTTTTTTGGTTTTTCCTCTTTCGAGAATTGTTTATTAATTTTATTAGTTCATTAACTGATTACAATTTTGTTCTTTTGATTTTTTAAAAAATTTTATTGAGCTTTTGTGTTTTCATACAACAATTCTTAATCAAATTTAGACCCCCCCCATCCACACCCCCCCCAGTCTCCCACCAGACCTCATGTAGTCCACCATACATGCTAAGTCCTATCCAGTCAAGCATTTGTACCCAGATGTCCTTCAGTGTAAATTCATCCACTGGAGTCTAGTCAGTCCATCTAGAGATCATGTGTAAGGCATAGTCTCCCTCGCCCAATAGCAATCAGTCTCCAATAGTTCTCAGTCTAGGCTGACCTGATACCCATTTCTCTTCTCCCCTCTGGGTCCTTGTTTAATTGAGTT